CACTGGGGCACGCACGTGACGTCCCCACAGCTCCGGAAGCAGCGCCCGCAGATGACCTGCTCGGGCTCTGACGTCCGGTGTGTGCGGTCCCCGTGTCCGCAGCCAGCCCGCTGCAATCCCTACAGCGATAACAAGCGCGTAAATGGATACAACATAACACGGGCTTTCCAATGAAGCCCCCAGGTGGTATCAGTACAAAAGAAGACAACTGAGACCCGCTGCGAAAAGAGAACACCGCTTGCGACAGTCCGTACGAGAGCAGAGGACTGGGGACTCGGGCATGATCGCGGCTTTAAGGGTATTGCAAGACTTTGATTTGTAAGTGTTGATACACAGGCATCTTGGCATTGCGCTGATGAGAGCCCCTGGTCCCCAGCTTGCTAAAACAAGCTGGGAATATTTCTGATAGTTACGAGAGAGAAGCTGAGACAATTCCTGCCGGAATTTATTAACAAATTGTAGGTATTCAAATTTTATCAAGGTTCTCCAAGACCAACTGAATAGTTAACAGATGAGCCCATACTCAATATATAACTAATTATGTAAACTAAGTCAAAATTAAGCAATTATTTGTGATTTTAGTGCTAGGTCTTTTAAAAGCTATGGAGTTCAGAAAAGTGACTGGAAAAGGCTTTACAATGCTCTGCTACACATATTGTTGGTAAAAGGACGGTGACTTGAAGAAGCCACCAATGCTACCAGGCAGAGACTTTTAGTAGGTCAAGCTGGGCTTTTCTGAGGGAATTAATTTGCCGAGTGAGAAAATTCCTCTCGGCAGCTGTGTCTTTGTGCTTCATGAGCAGGAAGTCTAATAGCTGCTTTTCTTGCAGAAGTTGCAGCATTGCATTCTGGAGTTTATCTCCATAGTCCCGAATGGTGAAGGACTGAATGATGAGAGGAATTAGGTTGGACAGGCGATGACCTGCTCCCTGAAAAGAGATAATTACATAATTTAATTAGTAAAGGGAGGAAAGGACAGCAACTTAGATATCCAAAGTTAGTAAGAAATAACAGAAAGCTGCACTTTTTAAATTTCATCAAGTGATTTTAACCTCAGGAGTTAGATTGGAAATGATGAAATCCAAGAGCTATGTTTTCATTTTTATCTGTTTTAAAAGACAGAATGAGACTTGCTCTAAACTTCAACCACAGGTTTCCTCAGGAATATAAACACCAATTATACTAGTTACTGCTATGTCCTTTATACAATGAAATTAATTTTGTAGTAGAGGGTTATCTAAAAAATAACACTTTATAAATAATTTTACTGTTAATGGAATCCAATTTGGAAGCCTGTCCAAACAGAATATGTTCAAAAGTGTCTTATCTAGAAGATAGTCTGACACTTAGTCCTTTCAGTTGCAAGTCGAATGAGCTTTAGTAAAAGCATCCTTGCTGTCATTTTGAAGCACAGGATGCTGAATACACTTAATTAGAGCAGCTCCTGAGAGCCACTAATTAAGGTGCCCTCCCCACCCCATAGCATGTGTAAAGATGCCCAAAAGTATTTAGCTGACGGTTAGAAATTCTATTTCATTGCTGTTTTTGAGCTTTCACTTTGAGCACCACTTGCAAATCGAGAGCAATGATACTTCCACTCCATTCAGCACTGGTGATGCTTTACCTGGAGCACTGTGACCAGCTTTGGGCCCCATTTTATGAAAGATGTGGACAGATTGGAAGGAGTCTAGCAGAGAGTGGAAAGCATGATTTATGAGAGAGGACTAGGCAGGGAGAGATTTGATAACAGTCTTCTAATACTTGAAAGGTGATTATAGAGAGGCTAGAGATGGACTTTTCCCTATGGCTATAAGGGACAGGACTAGGAGCAATGAAGAACAGAAATCTAGCGATACTGGTTCAAATCTCTGCTTTGCCTGATTCATAATGATCGGAAATGAAAAGTCCTACTTTGAATAAGGCAAAGCAAGTAACTGAATTGGCCTATGCCCAAACCATTGATGGGGAGAGACTTATTTAATAAGAAGGGAAGCATCGTCACCTCCTTCCTTGGCAGCTGTATTTCGTGTGGGAACTGATCTGGTAGGTGTTCTCTAAAAACACCTATCAAATTGGACCCTCTAAGCAAATTGGAACCAATGTGGATGGGGGGACTTTTAACTTGTGGATCCTGATAGGGCTTTGGTATCAGCTAGGCTAGGGTTTGCCCAGACATATCCTCTTTTTGGGTCCTCCCATCTCCATCTGAGTGTTTTGTTTTGTTTTTTTAATATCAACAAATGTCTGGGATTTTGCTCCACCTGTGCTCAGCATCAAATTTTTTCCTGGCACTTCCTGGCTTGCCCTAGCAAGGAGCTGCTTGGGGCTGTGGGGAGCAGGGGAGGGGAGAGTGGAGGCAGAGGCATCATGTGCATCTGTGCACATGCCCCAGCAGCTGCAGGCAGGTAAGTCTGTGGGGCATGGGGGTAGGAAGGCCAGGGCTGGGGATTGTGTGTGCGTGCTTGTGCATGGAGGGTGGCTGCAGGTTAAGAGTGAGGGGCACTGGCAGGGCTGGGGGGGCAAGGGATTGTAGGTCAGGAGTGAGGGGCACCAGCAGGGCTGGGGGGGCTGTGGCTTGGGACCTACAGGCACCAGAGGGATGGGGGGACTGTGGGTCGGGAGCGTGGAGCACAGGTAGGGCCACAGGGCTGTGGCTCGGGAGTGAGGGATATCAGCAGGGATGGGGGGGCTGCAGTTTGGGAGTGAGGGGCACCAGCATGGTCTGGGGGGTGCAGAGTACTGTGGATTGCGAATGAGAGGCAGCAGCAGGGCTGAGGGGGCTGTGGCTTGGCAGTAAGGGACAGAGGGGCAGGCACAGGCATATCAGTGCCCCCCCCCCGGCCGCCGCCAGATGTCCTCTTTTTTTTAAACGAAGTATGGAAACCCTAAGCTTGGCACCTAGTTGCCCAGTATTCTCAGGGCTTAGCTATTTCTTAGTATACTCAGAAGCAGACTTTTAGGTACCTATGAAACTTTAGTCCTGGTATTTTAGCTGCTCACAGATTTTAGGCACCCTCAAGATTTCAGCAGATGCTAAACAGGACTTCAGAGGATTTAGATGTGAACATAGTGTCTTTAAAACCTGATGCTTACTGATTTAATAGCTGAGGCCCCATGTTCAAAATTAGCAGGCATCTAACAATATAAGTCCTGTTGAAAGGCAATGGGTTGTAGTCTGAGCAACTTATGTACTCAAGTTCCACTCACTTCCTCTGAGACTTCAACTTCAAGTGCCTGTCACTGTTGAAAATAGGGGTTGATCACTTTTCAAAAGTTTACTCTTCATATACCTGGCTTTGTGTTATATAGGAGAGAGTATCAAGGCTCTTAACTGCTAACTCACTACTCTGACTAATATATAATCCATTACAGTCCGACTCACTTTAGGAAACCACAAAGATGTGTGACACAAAAACAAACTCTACTTGATTTTCTTTGCATCCAATTTGATAGCATCTACCTCCAGAATACCCCATTCTAATAATTACAGCAAGATGTTAGTTTCCATTTTGCTTTCACGAAGATAAGTCTTTCACTGCTTCTTATAACAAACTATATTCAGTATTTGTATTCAGCATTTGATAGATGCACATTTTTTAGCTTAATTGTACTCCAAAAATACAGTTAGGTGTCTAAGTGAATGCCACAGCAGCTAGATTCAGCTGGTGACACCAGCGTACAGAACAGGTTGAGAATCAGTTTAAAACCAGAGTTCTGACTGCTTTTTTTTAATGGCTAAGGTCTGAATTCAGGGACCATTTAAGTTTTGATGGTGAAACTGGTATAATCTGAGAGGAAGATTAATAGCAAGAAGTAGCGTGAAAAAGGAAACTCAAGATGAAGGAGCCCTCTGTTTTCACAACTTCCTGTTACAGAGCGAGCCAATAAACTACTTGTGTAATATGTATATTCCTTCCCCAACCTTTCTGGTCACCCCAGAATATGCCCATGATCTTTTTCCATTGGCTGCTCAAGGTTTTAGTTAAGTCTGACAGTTGTGCATGTACATCAAGTGGGAGATTACATGTGCCGTCTTCCTGTTGGTATCACCATATTCTTAAAACCAAAAGAGAACCCCTTCTCTTGACTGCAGTGGGACTGGATGAACATTATACACTGTTGAATTTAGAATGAAATAGGAATTGCTATTACAGGAATCCAGAAACTCACATTGAAGTATGCCTCCAGGTGACCAGCGAGGTTAACAGTGGATAGGCTCCTGTTTGGAACAACTCCATTAGCATCCTGGAATGTCAGAGTTTTGAGTGCTTCCTCAACGTTGTTAACATTGGTAGCTCTTAAAGCTTTTTTGTAACAATCGTCCTGGCAGTATACAATCTGCTCAATTTTAAATTGGGTTTGGATCATGTTTTTAGCTTCTTCTCTTTGCTGTGTTTTAATGTCTTCAATTCTGCCCTGTGAAGGAAGTTGGAGAAGAAAACTCTCAGAAGCTACTAACCAACAACCAGGCCTTGCTGCTGACAACCAGTTTGCAACTGAACAGATATTGGGAGTGTTGGCCAGTACTATCATATTCTTTCTCAACATGACACGAACACATTTCTGTCCCTGCTCTAGACTCACACACCTCCCACACCGGTCCATAAAGTGTCTTGAGTCTGACGTAGAATAAGTAGATGCCTGCAGTCTTTCAACCTTGGTGTTCTACCAAAAG